ACCGCCGCAACCGCTATGTCCCTGCATTTTAAATCTGTAATATCTTCGAAAATATTCATTTAAATTACATGCTGTAAAGGGCCATATTGATTAAATGCACAATGTATTTAAAAGTACTTAATTGGATAAGAATTAATGCTGTATTGCCTACAATCGCTTCGTAAATAAGTCATTATTTCTCATAAAAAGTAAAGGATAAAAATGGTTATGGTGGGTTATCCCTAAGGGATAGACATGTACCATCGCGGACTTTTTTGTAGACCCTTTTAAGATGTACAATATTGTAGTACATTATTTTGATCTGTCTCGTAGGGTTCAGCCAGCGTTTGCAATGTAAGCGCAAAAAATGTGTTGATTTACGACATCACATTAGAAACCTCTAAAATTATCAGTGTTTGCCTACTATATTATGCATGTATTATACATATAAACCTTCCGCTTGAATCACTCTATCTTTAAAAAAAAAACCGCATCAAAATCCGTTGCGTAGTTTTAAAGATTTAAGCATACATAGGGACAGACAAGCGGGAAAGCGACTTTGTTTTATACTATGTAGTGATACTCTTCAGTCTTCAGCTATTTTTAACTTAGTTTCTTAACTAGATAATTAGGTACTCACAAAATTACGTCAACATATTGTCCTTTAAAAAAATAAAAAGTTTATTCCGCAAATTGTGACCAACTTTTTGCAAGAATGATTAGATTTAAGTATTAATATTTATTCGGGAAACAAATATTGGTTTTATTAATTATTACGTACGATTGTATTGTGCTCGCATCTACGACTTCGTTGTTTTCTTCGTCTATAAAGTGGGTGATAACGTCTGTTTGATCTGTTAGTGTGTTACCGCTGTTGTCTGTACTTGGTTGAATAGATTCTATGTTGGCCACGTAATGCAAAATATCTTCCAAAACGGATATGATCTGTAACAAAAAAAAAATAGATTATTGCTATAATAAATAGACAAACGACTAAAAATATTATTACTACTTACGGTACTATATCTTGCTCTAACAGTAGACTGGCTGGCTTCAAATGTGAATCTTACCCTGTTAGATTCGGAAGCGATGTAAATTTTAACAGACGTTTCATCAGTATGATTTGCTGTTAAAAAAATGTATTTTTTATGCGTTATTTTAGATAGTCTTCACCGTTTAATTTCGTAAAATACCAAAAAAAAAATATTTTTTTTACCTAAATCTGTAACAATCGCTTGGAAAGTAAAATGTCCGAGCATACTTGCTAAAACTTGAAAATTGAGGGTAATATCTCCCGTAGTTCCATTTACTATGAAAGGGTTATTAATACCCCGTAGACTTGAGTCAGATATTTCTAATGATTCTTCATCTATTGAAAATGTGAGTACATCTATATCCAAATCGTAGGCCTGAACGGAATATAATTTTATTAATACCACGTGTAATATGATATTATATTAGTCTTTTGTTTTTACCTCCAATGTTAATATTCTACTTCCAATTGTAGTCGACGTTGTTACACCTCCAAAATATCGGGAACTGTTGAAATGTGGTGGATTATCATTAACGTCCAATACCTCGAATAGAAATTAATTTTATTAAGTAACAAAAGCTTATAAGTTGTGCAAATTAACGAACGCCCATAACGTATTCGTAATGTGAGAATGAATTCGGTTTTGACCTTAATCTGGCCCTGGTTGTGACTTGCAGCTCTATTTCTTCAAAAAATTTGCTAGGTTGTTCTTGAGGTTTTCATAAGTTACCAGTAACTGTAAACGCAATTGTAAAAGACTGAGATATATCTGACGATTTAACTAAAATCAGTTTTTACGTACAAATCAAGAACGATTTCAAAAATATTGACATGCTCTTCACTGTTTTACAAAATAATTGTTTTATTCGAATCGAAGTAAAGAAAGTTACAACCAGGACCGGACTAAAATAAGTGAAACAGTTGAATAAAATAATTCGAAGTGGTCTGTATTCTGTCGAAACTGCCAGACGCGGATCGCGGTTTCGATCTTTTTGGATCTCATCAGCGCGTCGCAGGCAGCTCCGACAGAACACAGACCAACTTGTCGTATTTGTCGTATTTTCTGAAACAGTTGAGGTTAAAACTGGATTCAGTCCCCATGAAAGGGTGCAACGTTATGAACTAAAAGCTTGAAACTGACACAATAATAAATTAATAATATAATAAATACCTCTATGAAAATTGTCAAACGCGCAGAAGGGCTGGGTGACGCTGTACCTTTCGAACTTTGAGAAGCTTGCACTGTTAGTGTATGAGAATCTATCTCTTCCCGGTCCAACATTTTTACGAGGGTAAGTTCCCGAGTAACTGAATCTAGTACGAAACAATCACCCGTACTATCAGTTTCGATTAGGTAATAAATGGGGAATTCGTCCCACGCGTTCCCATCGGCATTCCAATAAGCTGGAGCAATGATTTCGGTGGTGTTCAAACCGGTAGTGTTTTCGTAGAACGATAAATTTTGAGTTGACTGTGAAAAAATCGGTTCTGCCGAAAGGTCGTGAAATCTAATGTTAATGTTAATGTTTGAAGTGAACGGTTCGTCCCCTGAACAGTTACAATTGGCCATGATTGACAGCTGAAAATAATTTTCAATTTTGTATAAAATTATTAATACGTTTTAGGCTAAACTGAATTTGTTATCCTTACTTCATATTCGCTATTGTAATCTGGAGTACTCGTAAGGACGAGTCGAGCATTACTAACTGCTGTTTGTTGGAAGGCGAAAAACGAAGTTTCTTCACCACTGGAGGTTTGTTCTAAATCAGAACAACGTACAGTTTATAAAGGACATTTAAGTTCTTGATCAGTCACGCTGAATTTGTACATTTGTTATTGTTAAACTTACCCTTTACTATGGAAAATTGAATATCCCATTTTTCGCCTTGATTATCTGTAGCCGAAAAAGGATCCAATGTTTCCCTATTATAGAGGTATAATTGGGCATATGATGTTTGAGTCTGTCAAAAGTAAAATACTTAATTTGGAGTATACCCCCAATATAAGTTTATGATAAAATTACCTTCGATAAGTAAATGATGCTTCTGTTTTGCGGATAAATAATTGTAGGAGCTTCGAAATTGTACTTTTNGAATAAAATAATTCGAAGTGGTCTGTATTCTGTCGAAACTGCCAGACGCGGATCGCGGTTTCGATCTTTTTGGATCTCATCAGCGCGTCGCAGGCAGCTCCGACAGAACACAGACCAACTTGTCGTATTTGTCGTATTTTCTGAAACAGTTGAGGTTAAAACTGGATTCAGTCCCCATGAAAGGGTGCAACGTTATGAACTAAAAGCTTGAAACTGACACAATAATAAATTAATAATATAATAAATACCTCTATGAAAATTGTCAAACGCGCAGAAGGGCTGGGTGACGCTGTACCTTTCGAACTTTGAGAAGCTTGCACTGTTAGTGTATGAGAATCTATCTCTTCCCGGTCCAACATTTTTACGAGGGTAAGTTCCCGAGTAACTGAATCTAGTACGAAACAATCACCCGTACTATCAGTTTCGATTAGGTAATAAATGGGGAATTCGTCCCACGCGTTCCCATCGGCATTCCAATAAGCTGGAGCAATGATTTCGGTGGTGTTCAAACCGGTAGTGTTTTCGTAGAACGATAAATTTTGAGTTGACTGTGAAAAAATCGGTTCTGCCGAAAGGTCGTGAAATCTAATGTTAATGTTAATGTTTGAAGTGAACGGTTCGTCCCCTGAACAGTTACAATTGGCCATGATTGACAGCTGAAAATAATTTTCAATTTTGTATAAAATTATTAATACGTTTTAGGCTAAACTGAATTTGTTATCCTTACTTCATATTCGCTATTGTAATCTGGAGTACTCGTAAGGACGAGTCGAGCATTACTAACTGCTGTTTGTTGGAAGGCGAAAAACGAAGTTTCTTCACCACTGGAGGTTTGTTCTAAATCAGAACAACGTACAGTTTATAAAGGACATTTAAGTTCTTGATCAGTCACGCTGAATTTGTACATTTGTTATTGTTAAACTTACCCTTTACTATGGAAAATTGAATATCCCATTTTTCGCCTTGATTATCTGTAGCCGAAAAAGGATCCAATGTTTCCCTATTATAGAGGTATAATTGGGCATATGATGTTTGAGTCTGTCAAAAGTAAAATACTTAATTTGGAGTATACCCCCAATATAAGTTTATGATAAAATTACCTTCGATAAGTAAATGATGCTTCTGTTTTGCGGATAAATAATTGTAGGAGCTTCGAAATTGTACTTTTCGATTAGGAAATCTAAAGTTTGGTTATAATATTGAGCAGAAGGAAACGTTCCAAAATCGTGTGTCTAAAAATTGTCATTGTATATGAATTATTATTTATTGTATGCACTCATTCGTTCAGACTGAGAGTTTACCTGGATTAACACTTCGTAAGTTCCAAAGTGTCCCTTTAAATCGTAATTTGTACAAACGGATGCAATTTGGGTTTCGAAATTCTCATCGGTCGTTACAGTGAACATGTCTTCAGGAGGATTAGAAATAGCATCGCTTCTTTTGGAAATATCCATAATAGTAAAGGCTATTTTGGTATTATCAGTACCTTCTTCGTCATAATCGTAAGCTATCAAATTTCCTATACAATCGCCCTTTCAAAAAGAAAAATACGTATTTAAAAGTATGAAGAGATGTGATGGAAACGATGGAGCAAGACGAATCATTCGGTGGATGTTGGGGTTTCAAAAAGGAGAGAAGGGTAAATGGGAAATAAAATGGATAAATTTCAAACGAAAATAATGTGGTTCCTCCATACATAGCTAAGAATCGTGTAACTTACCTTGAGTACGTTTTCCGAAGTTGTTACTGAAGTATTAGTTATTTTTGGAATTTGATCGTTGATATCCAAAAGATTTACTTGGAAGTTGGAGTTTACGGCATGAGAAATTCCTGTAAATTTATTGAATTACAAAAACAAAAATTGCGAATTATTAAATGGCATTATAACAACCTGTGCCAAAATAGTTGTCAGTAACTGTAAATGCAATTGCAAAAGATTGTGTCCCAAAATCTCTATCGAGTTCGTAATTTGAACGTTTGCGCACATAGAAAAGACCTGATAATGGATCAAAGGTGAACAGTTGATATACTTCTTCATTTTCGGAACTTAGTGTAAAATAAACTTCGTTGTAAGGACCTACAATAAGATAATTTTATTAGGGGCCATTTTATTATGATTATGAAAAAATTGGGAAGCATGTTCGTATAGGTGTCAATTAAAAAAAAAAAAAACAGCTGAATACTCACTATCTCGATCTGCATCAGTAACTTCAATTAAAGTAACGCTTGTGTTATCTTCAGATTTTTCATAAATTTCAAATGGTTTTGAAAGGTTTGATTGTATAATAGGCGTATTATCATTTGTGTCGATAATAAAAATGCTTATCTAAAATGGCAGGAAAAATTGTCAAAAGAATTAATTTTTTTTTGTGTCGACATACTTCTGCTTCAGTTATCCAATATCCGTCCGTTGCTTCGACAATATAATTCAAATAGTAAATTGGGATATCTGCATCAATTGTATTACTACTTTTAACCGTTAGTTGTCCAGTATTGTTATCGATTAGAACCCAATCATCTGGCGTTTCATCATCAGCAGATCTAGGAAAATTAATCAAAAAAATTAATTGTTCCTTATAAACTTCTAACGTTTTTTTATTGGCATCAATGTTTTATTAGACAATTTTATTGTACAAACCTTAAAGAATATGATACCACATTGTAATTAACACCATCAGCATCGGTAGCAGTTATGGTACCTATAATGGTCCCAGCTAGGGCATTTTCTACCACGCTGTTATTTGCAGTTATAGAGGAATTGGTAAATATTGGTGCATTATCATTTAAGTCGATAATAGATATAGAAAATACCACTGAAATAAACATTCTTATGAAAAACATTCATTGGCAATAAATTGTACCGTAATAACCCAGTGGTAACCCCTCAGCAATCGAAACTATTCCTTAATAAGTAGGCAAATGATTTAATCACCAGTTAGTTCCAAAATATTATACTGTCTGTTATAAACTATCCCAGTTACGAATTTTACGGAGCCCCAGTCTTTAAAATGTTGAATTGGTAGCCTTCGGGAGCCCCCAAGCCATCTCTCCCAAAAAACCACAGGTTGGTAGTAAGTAAAAGCAATCAGATTTAAAATTTGGTGCATTACGTTTTATCAAAACTAATGTTGTTCTGACTTTTATGTCTGATAGATTTTTAGATTTTTTTTGTCAACTCCGTGAATGATCTAAATGAAAATTCGTCAGCGAAAGTACACTAGGGGCTCCTATTCGGAAATCTGGCACTCCGAACAAATACATGTAGTACTAACAAGTGTTGAGCAGAAATATATCGATAACTATGGTAACTATTGATAATTATCGATTTATCGATTTTTGTTGTTATCGATAACTAATAACTAAAATCAGTTATCGTCCAATATTAGTAGTTTACCTTTTCGTGGTAAATCTTATGAAGTACGACCTACTTACCAGTGGCAGTTCCATCATTAACTTCTTGGTTTAAATCTTCTACTTTCAATGTGAGAAACAGTGTGTCGAAACGTTCATAATCAGGTGTATTATTTGCAATGATTTCGTTGACGGTTAACACGGCTCTCGCGTAACCTCCTGGGCCTTCACTTATATTCTTAGTTTCCACTAACACCGAACTATAAATAATAAAATTAAACATTAGATATCGAATTAAAAAAAAAAATGAAGCATTAAAAACATTAAAGGCGCCAGGTATTCTTAAACGTGTAGGACAAAAGGTTAGAGATCGTATGTTTAAGCTATCATATTTACGTAACAGGAAAAGTGTTGGAGGATTATAAACGAAACGTGGTCGTATTAATAGGTACCTAAAAAGAGAGGCGCGGATGGGTGCGAGACATTTAGAACAATTAATTTAACTTCCCATGCGTCAAAAATCTTATCAAGAATTGTACAGAGGAGGATGGGAAAAAGGGCGGAAGAACTATTAGGGAAAGATCAATTTGGATTTACAAGAAATAGAGTAACGCGGGAGGCTATTCTAGCTTTACGCGTACTAATACAGAGAACGATAGAAAAAGGAAATAAAAACTTTTGACAATGTTAAATGGGACAAGATGTTGAATATCCTTAAAAATGTAGGGATGAGTTAAAGAGACAGGAAAGTGATACTTAATTTGTATAAACAGTAACAAGTTGGAGCAGCAACGTTGAGTATTAATATTAAATATTAGGAAGGGAGTCAGGCAGGGATGCACACTGTTACCGGTTCTTTTTAATCTATACATCGACGACGTGATCAACGTCATCAAAGACAGTAGGGATAGGTATGCAGGGACAAAGAATTAGTATGCTTAGATTTGCAGATGATGTAGCAGTATTAGTAGCAAGCAAACAGGAGTTGAAGATATCTTTAAATAAATATGAAAATAAAAAAAAGTTAAACAAAAATCCTGGTATGGAAGGGAAGAAAAAGTAGGGAAAGAGCGAATATAAAGATAGGAGACGAAAAATTAGAAGAACCTGCTGATTTTCGCTATCTAGGAAGTCAGAACGGAAGGAGTAGTAGGTATATAAAGCAGATAGCGCAGGGTCGAGTAGCACACTACCTCCCTTGGGGGTGTCTTTAGAAGATTTCCCCTCCTCGAGGCTAAAATAAACAAAAAAAAAAGGGTCGAATAGCCTTCAGTAAAAAGAAGTCACTTCTATGCTCGCGAATGGTTAATTTAGAAATTCGAAAAAGATTGTTAAAGGTGTGTTTGGAGCGCGACGCTGTACGGGTGCGAAACATGGACGGTGGACGCGGCGGAAAAGAAAAGGTTATAAGCGTTCGAAATGTGGTGTTAAATGCGAATAATGAGGATAGCGTCGATAGAGAAGATTAGAAATGACGAGGTATTAGAAAGAATAGGAGAACAGAGGACTCTATGGAAGTCAATAAAAAATAGGCGAGATAGATTAGATTAGATTACTGTTCGCAAACAGTTAAGGATATGGGTATATGGGTTGTTTTAGTTTTAGGGAAATGCGAAGAATAGCTCAGGATGGAAAAGAGTGGAGGTGTGTGTCTAACCAGTGTTAGGACTATAGACCTTATGATGATGATCAAATTTGAATAAGAAGCTATTGCTATAGTTATAAATGAGAAATTAATGTTCTATTTAAATTTGCTTTTCTTCTTATAAATGGGAAAAGGCTTACGCGGCCAGTAAGTGAACTGGTGCTGTCCTTATTCGAGTCCAAAGGCTGTCGTCGGTTGGAGTTGCTTCCAGCATCGGAGATGGAAGGACATCTAAAGAAGCTCGCGACTATCTAATCGACGACCGCCTTTTGACCCAAATCAAGATAGCAGTAACTTCTTACTTTAGGTAATACTGCGAATCAACGCGTTGTCCGTATTTGGTAGCGTAAGTTGTTGGCGAGTCCCATTCAATGCTAAACACCAGATTTGCCGTAGAATCGGGATCAGCTGCTGTAATACCATCGCTGATTACAAATCCATCATTTTGATTTTCCTCAACAGATATTACAGTCGATGGCTATAATTCCAAGAAGCAATTATTTATTATGAAACACTTAATAAAAAAGTAATTCAATTGTTCATCGACTTCTTACAATGGTTTCGGATAAATTGATTTAACTTACCACACTGATAGTTGGAGTTTTGTCGTTGACATCGAGTACTGTAACGGTAAGCTGTGCAACCACGGAATGATGAGTGTCATTCATTGAATCTTCTGCTTTAACTTGAATTATGACTTCGTTTGAAGTTTCATAATCAAAAGCGCGATCAACCGTTGTTCTTATTTCACCTGTTTCCGGGTCAATACTCATTACCCTGTTCATGGCTGTTCCTAACAACGAATGACTGCAAAAATATGTTGAGTTTTTTTTTATAAACATTGCAGACTACTAATAAAGGATGTTTCGATCATGTAAATTTTTAGTCTATGTATGTCTGGCGCCCATTTTAAAAACTCCACGTGAATCTATCGTCAAAGGAGTCTCAAATTACATAATAACTTTTACAAAAGTTGTTGGGTTTAATAAAGGGAGACATTGAATGGTGATCTTTAGTTGATCTTGACCTTGATCTTCAAAGTTATTTAAAGCCTTTACAAAAGTTGTTCGATTTAATGGGGGGTGGGGCCTCAGATGGTGGGCTTCAGTTGACCTTAACTTCAAAGTTATTCAAAGCTTTTACAAATGCAGTTGGATTTAATGGGGGGTGCATCAGATGGTGGGCTTCAGTTGACCTTGACTTCAAAGTTATTTAAAAGTCAGATTATATTTTTTAAATAGAAACCCTGGGATTCAGAAAGAGCTTACACCGTTAGTAGGTTGTATTAGATAGATGGTACTTGTACCACAAAACATTTTAAAAGTCTCCGTTCATAAACTAAGACTGCGAATGACCTACCACACGACTCACTAAAGTGACTAAAACGTGCGCCGTAAGAATACATGCGCAATTGTTTTATATGACTTACGTGACGGTATCCCCAATATCCCTGTCTGTTGCGAAAACAACAGCAACTACTTCGTTTATCCCTAAAGTTTCGTTAATGGTTACTTCATATTCTGAAGACTCAAATATCGGATACTCGTCATTCCAGTTAATCAGTGACACGTTTACTGTCTTAATATCGATGTGGGATTGATTTTGAATTTCTAAAGAACGAACCTAGCAAAGAAAAATTTACGTGTGAAACGGACACTACTTATCGCTCATTTTGAAGTATGGATTACGGACCTGGAATGTTAGCTCTTGCCATGCTTCATTTTCGTAATCCAACAAAGAACTGTCGGACACAGAAAGATAGAATGTCCATTCTTTGTATCCTTGATTGGGAACAATTTGAAAAGCTTCGTTATAGCCGTTATTGGTATCATCAAGAAGTTGGACCCTATATACGGCGTTGTTACCCTAAAATGGTAAATAAATGATGATATAAATTTCAGTTTACATACAACTGTATCGTGAACAGTGAGGATTATTATCGAAAAATGGATTAGATTTTAGCAGACGTGGGAGAAATCTATACATCGAAGACGCCATCAACATCATTAAAGACAGTACAACTGTAGGGATAGATGTGCAAGGGTAAAAGATTAGTATGCTTAGATTTGCAGATGATATAGCAGTATTAGCATCTAGCAAGGAGGACCNTAATTATAAATTAATAAATATTATATGGTGTTATTGATATTAGTACCTGTATGTATCAAGGTCTGGCATTTTTTTAGCTTCGTTATAGACAGGGTTTGAACCTTCGATAGCATTTTTATTAGTTCCGGGGGCTGCAATTGGTACCCTGTTTAAGCCAGAATCTTGGGATCCAAATTTCTTCTCAGTTAATCTTTCCAATCGTCGTGTTAAACTGTAGAAAAATTATTGCAAAGCAAACAAATTGAAAATGTACCAGATCGTGTCAAAATTGTTTCTACGGCTACAGAACCGCAGAAAATATTTTTTATAAGTAATTGAAAGTAAATATCTACTAACCTTCTTGTTTTGATGATAAAGGCAATTGCAAGGCCTGCGCAGAGGGTAAATAAAACGGTTGTTAGTCCAATTAACCATCCTTTTAATATTGTTTCAGTGCTATCACCAGAATTAGACGTTTGATCGTTCACTTTCAAAAGATAAAGCGACGCCTCGTTCATAAAAACAGTCCGCAGTTGAGTGAACGTTGTTAAACTGCTTGCAAGTCTAATAATAATAAAAAAATAACATTAAATTAAATTAAAAAGTATTCCGTCAAATTCAAAAAATAATTACGTAACTAAATACGTAATAAAAAATAGCCTAAGCGAATTTTATTTACTCGTTATTAAGCAATAAAGGCGGCTCTGGGTGTTAATGGCGGACTTTAGCTGCCATATTGCGTGATCGCAATAAGGGACGGTGTATTCAATTAAAAGAGTTGAAAAGATGACTTGAGAAATATATATATGTAATTTATGACTTTATTAACTAGTTTGAAGCACACTTTACCGATTTAACAAGAACCAAAATTTCATTTCTTTATTTATTTTAAACTAGTGACCCGCCCCAGCTTCGCAAGGGGGAATGCTGATACTAAATATATTTTTGTTTTGTTTAGATTATTATCGAAAAGGGGAAATCTTCAAGAGATACCCCCTGAACAGTACATTAATATATTCATTTAAATATATCACAATAACAAATAAAAAATAACACAAAATAAAAATTACCATAGATTACTTATGGTTAAAGGAAGTGGTAAGTTCTCCATTTGACAGCCTTCTGAAAAAGGGTAATTCGTCAATGGCATCATCAGCAAACTTTGGGCAATACTTCCGGGTATGTGCGTTATTTCCGGTAGCACCGCATAAAGGGCATACATACTTTCGTAAAATAGGGCACATAACAGTTCCGTTTTCATTTTTAATTTGATGACCAGTATAAATGGCAATCGGTTCGCCATTCTTTTGACAAAATTTGCAACACATGTTATTTTCGTCTTTGCCTTTGCTTTTAGTTTTACCTCTTTTTATTCTTTTTGACTTTGTGAACTCTTGTGTAAGTTGTGACCCTTCGGAAAACGTGGTTAGTGCAGAATCGTCAGAAAACTGTGGCAGTGTAAGCATAGGCGAAAATATGAATTTCTTTTCAAACGATGCGGTGGAAAGTTCGCAGGTTTGTGTGAAAGGTGCTATTTCTTCGGGATATTTCACTTCCCCTGATTTACTTGGACTGGATGCCATTATTGGAGAAAAGGTATTAAAGCTTTCATTTGTTGAATAACCTGACGAATCCAAAGAATTTGTACTATCTGCAACTAATGAATGACATTTTTTAATTGGGTACAATTATGGGCTATGTTATTTGATATTGTTCTTTTTGGAACAAGTATTTCTGTGATTTCGAGTATTTGAAATGTTTTTACACATAATAATTAACTTGTAAAAACAATGCTTTAAAATATTTTATCATAGTACTTAATATGTAATATTCATTTAAATTACCTGATTGGGACGGTACTAATAAATCTGCAGTCAAATTTGGAAAGAGGCGGTACATCTCGTTGTTTAAACTATTATCCGGATAAAAACAATTATTAAAAGAAAACCCTGCATTACTTTCATTTAACGATTTGCCATTTCCTTCATTATTTTCGAAAGACATGTTTTTTCTTTTTTAGAAAAATAGTTGTAGAGATTACTGCCGTGCAATTTCTAAATTCAAACTGAAGAGTGAACAAGGTACAACAAGAACAAAATTGAAAAATCGGAAAATATGGGGAGTTTTAAACTAAAGCTATAATTCAAAACTTCCCCTATTTGCCTACTTCTTCTAGGTTCTTAATACCTATCGTATCATAATGTCCATTACATTTGCACAACTGCCAGTTTTTTTTTTGAACCAATAAGTCTAGAGCTTTTA